TGATGCATAAAATATTTCTGCATAATTAAAATATTTATGATAAAGGTAGATTGTGTACTTTTGCCCAACTGAGCAATCTTGCTTTCATAAAATACACCAAGTTTTTAGTGACTGATGATTAACATGCTGTAATACACAGTTTAAATTTAAAGGCTCAAATGCTGTACATGAGAGGTTAAGCTTTATTGGCTCCTCCTGGCGGTTTTACAAGGTGATTCTGGTATGACCTCAAAAATGATGCTGCGTTTTCATGCGACATGCCCACCGCGGTGTACCGCGAAATACCCCCACCCGTTTTGAATGGGTGCATCTGTATATATACACAGATCCTGTATTATTAATGTAATTTCTGCATAGAATTCTAATTCTCCCAGAAAAAAGTTTTACATTATGTGTTCGCAATCTGAATTTACAAACATATACAAATAAAATAAGTTAACGAAATTTCTGCTAATGACGCTGATCCAATGATGCGATTCTAAACGATGTTTTCAGCCCTGTTACTGAATTACAGATGTTTTCAGCACCATAATAGGAAAACAATTCAGTTTCCCGTTAAGAATCCCGTTGCTTCATCACACAAGTCTTTCCCATCTCACTCTGCATCTCTCCACTATATTCTAACCAAGAAGTTAAAGTTGTTTTTAAACACAGACACGGGTTTCATTCAAGTCACTACACTGACCTGACAGCTCCGGTTTCATGTCTATTTCTTCTTTTATTTCTGCAGTGACTTCACAGGGAAGCGTGTGTCCAACATGATCTGTCTGTCCCTGATCTCCTCCTGCTCCCGACTCCTTCTCCCACAGTTGCAGTCTCCACTTCAGGCTCTCGTTTTCCTTCTTCAGCTGCGCCATTTCACTCCCGAAATTGTCCTCCACACACTGTGAGATTTTAACCACCCTGTCTCGGAAAACTTCAGAAACTTCATTCACGATCGATTTGATCAAAACCTCCATGAAAGAGTGAAGCTCTGTCTCCAGCGTGAACAACAAATTAGCCATCTTTCTAAAGAGTCGATCCGAAACAAAGTTTACGATTACATTCAAAGTCTGCACAGATCTGCATTCCAACTGGGTTGTGACTCCAGGAATTGAAAAAATATTTTTATACAAAATAACTGTCTTTATTATTCTTCAAAAATAAAAAAAACATTATTCTTTATCATTCATATACATTTGTTTTCTACAAAATATACTTTATTTCTATTTATATTGTCATATATATAGCTGATTCAATCACTGCCACGAGTGTGAAATAGATGTACTGTACAGCTGCGCAACCTGATGACACCATTCTTTAGCGCTGCAGCGGCTTCAAAACAACCGAGGAGCAGAGCTAATAAAGAAGTGTTTCTGCAACAGGAAATAAGCCTCATTTTACCTCTAGCGTCACCTAGTCTGGAGGGGTGAATTGCAATAGAGCTATACATATTCGTGTGTGAGATTTGCATACAGCTTTACATTTATTTCTACAAGTTAAACCTACAGAATTGTGTAAATTATTCTCAAATTAATTCCAAATTGAACATGAACATGGTCGGAACCAGTCAGAAGATGTTACATAACAGTGCCCACCT